ATTCGAGCTCGGTACCTGCCCAATTTTAATAGATTTTCAGCCATTTTAGGGCTAATTTGGACCATTGTAGACCAATTTCGACAAATTTGAAGCCATTTTAGGCAATTTCGGAGGTAATTTTAGACCATTTTTAGCTGATTTCGGGCCATTTTAGGCCAATTTCAGATTTTCATAAATTTCAACTCATTTCCAGCCTATTTTGAGTTATTTTAGACCGATTTTTACGGAATTTTATCCGTTTTGAGGCTATTTTCGGACTGTTTTGGCGCTATTTTCAACCATTTTCTACCATTTTTTACGGATTTTGAGCCATTTCAAGCCTAGAAAATACCTTCAAATTATGATCGTTCTTCTGTGTGGCCAACGGTCTATCCGCCCCATTCCTCCCTCCAATTATATACTTCCTCACAAACATTTGAGCGGAATTCCACGTGCCTAGTCCATCATCACAGATCTCCTCCTTCCCCATCAATGCATCCTCTTCGAAATGGATGATAAAGGTCCCCGTATTCGTGAATTCCTGCGGAATCGAATCGCACATCTCCGACTTTTGGAAATGTTGTTGAGCGGTGTCGTTGGAGAAGAATTGCACCACTTCCTGCAAGAAAAATGAGTTGAAAATGGTCCGAAAATGGGTCTAGAAAGGCTAAAATTAAGCCAAAATAGCTTAAAATAGCCCTAAAATAGCATAAAATCGTCCGAAAATAGTCTAAAATTGTTTTAAATAAGCCAAAAATAGCCAAAAATAGGTCCAAAATGGGTCGAAAATGGGTAAAATTGACCTAAATCCGGGCTAAAATGACTGGAAATAGCTAAAATTGGGTCAAAATTCGCCCTAACTGATGGAGCTATAATAGTGTAAGATGGGTCTAAACTAGCCTAAAACATGTCTAAGAAAGTCTAAAATTAGTCTAAAATGGGTCCAAAATAGCTTGAAAATGGCAAAAAATATGCCCAAATGGCCAAAATTAGTCTAAAATAGCCCCAAAATAGCTTAAAATAGCCCTAAAATAACCTAAAATCGTCCAAAACAGATTGAAAATAGCCAAAAATGGGTCCAAAATGAGTCTAAAACGACCTCAAATGGTCCAAAATTATTCTAGAATGGGTCCAAAATGGGTTTAAAATTGACAAAATTGACCTAAATTCGGGCTTAAATGACCGGAAACAGGCCCAAAATAGCCTAAAGTAGTCTAAAATAGCTCAAAATCGTCCAACATAGATTGAAAATAGCCAAAAATGAGTCGGAAGTGGGTCTAAAATAGCCAAAGATGGCCAAAAATGGGTCCAAAATGAGACTAAAACGACCTCAAATGGTCCAAAATTATTCTAGAATGGGTCCAAAATTGGTTTGAAATTGACAAAATTGGCCTAAATCCGGGCTAAAGTAGCCAAAAATAGGCCTAAAATGACCAAAAATAGGCCCAAAATGGCCAAAATTAGTCTAAAATGGGTCCAAAATGGGTCTAAAACATGGCTAAAACGTCTAAAATGATTCAAAATCAGCTGAAAATGGTCCAAACCCGGTCTAAAATAGTCTAAAATAGCCGTAAAATTGTCTTAATAGAGGTCAAAATAGCTCCAAAATGATCAAAAATGGTCAATATTGGCCAGAATCAGGTGTGAATATGTCGAAAATGATCCAAAATTGCCAAAAATGGATTCAAAACGGTCCAAAACTGTCATTTTTGGCTATTTTGGGTCATTTTGGACCCATTTCCCCTATTTTTCAGCGATTTTCAGCCAAAATCCAACTCACTTTCAGTGAAACCGCAGTATCCATATAGATTGGCCAGTCAAAGTGCATTCCGGTACCATCTTTTCGAACGAAGACTCTCCAGGTTTTTGATGTCGATGGTTCTGGAAATTAAAGCTGAGCAATCCGAGAATTATGGGGTTTTAGAGCGATTTTGAGCCATTTTAAGCCAATTTCGGGCCATTTTAGACCAATTTCGACCGATTTTCAGCTATTTTAAGCTTATTTTCAGCCAATACTGGACCATTTTCAGCCAAATTTGGACCATTTTCAGCCAACTTTGGACCATTTTAGGCCAATTTTGAGTCACTTTCAGCTATTTTAAGCCAATTTCAGCTCTATTCCATACCTCCATTTTCATCGATGACTTCTGGATCGGAATCCTCTTCGTCATCCTCCACCACGACGCCATCTTCCACGTCTTCCACGCCTTCTACAGTAGTATTCTGTTCAGAATCCTCTAGAATCTCATCGAAAGTGTCGTATTGTTGATAGGATTTAGCCCTGGATGCACGTGGCGGTTGTCGCTTCGGAATGTGGAAGATTCTGGAAAAAGGGGCGGAGCTTAGGGGGTTTTGGGCTGCCTAGGGCTGAAAATGACGATTTTTAGGGGTTTTGACGCTGAAAAGCACGATTTTCAGCTTATTTTAGCCCATTTTCCACTTACTCTCCCTTCCGCTTCCTTCCCACCTTCTTGGATGCCCTTTTTCGTTTTTGACGGGACAAGGGAACGGTTTCTATGGGGTCCTGCCACACTCCGGCCTGAAAAGTCGATAGTTTAAGCTTGAAATGCTGAAAATCGCGATTTTTAGAGCCAAAAAAGTGAAAAATTGAAGAAAAATTGGGAAAATCGATTTTCGTCAATTTTAGGCCATTTTGACCCGAATTTTCTGAAAAACCCGGTTTTCCGACACGATAATCATGATTTTCAGCTCATTTTGATGCTAAAATCATCATTTCCAGCCCTACCTCGCCGGCGGTGACCTCCTCCGGGTCCTCCTCCTCACCAATGTCGAAATGATCGAGTTCTTCTATAAAAACTGGGCGAATTGTATTAAAATATTGCTTGAAATGTTGAAAACCCTACGAATATTGTCTTCATCATAGTCGAAATCGCCTCCCTCAATCGGAATTTCGATGCGATGTGACTCCGACATTTTTTGGCCTGGAAAAATGGGATTTTCAGGGGTTTAGAGCTATTTTTAGGGTTTCTAGAGTACATTTTTGGGTTTTTATTTTTTTTTTTACATCGAAGAAGTCGAAAAAATAACAGAAAACGATGGAAAATAACCTAGAAAAAATATAAAAAATCTATATAAAAAAAGGGTTGCCGTGTTTGCACACAGTGCATTTTGATTGACGACATTTCACTGAAAATAAGGGATTTTAAGGTTGAAAATCAGATTTTCCGGTTTTGAAAACTAAAAAATCGAATAAAGCATAAAATTTGGGTTTGGAAACTTTTTTAGTTGGATAAAATTGATTAAGAACAAGCCGAGCCCAGAGCTTAGAAGTTTTATTGTGCATTTTTAAATTTAAAAACATTGTTTTCGGGATTATTCTATTGAATAAATATGTTTAAATACAGGAAATAACCTTAATAAATAATTTAAAAAAAAAGAAAAATCCCGAAACAATTGAGAAAATCGAGTTTTAAAAGATATTTTCTTTTTTGGAGGGATTACTGTAGTTGAGCATATATAAATGAGCAATTTTCCGGATATCCTGTGGTAAAATAAACCTTTTTACTTCCGTTTTGACTTATATTTCATATTTCCAATAGATTCCCTAGCAAAAAAATATCTTTTAAAAAATTTCTTTAAAAAAAATTTTTTCCAAATTTTTTTTGTTTTTTCAAAATGTTTAAAATTCTTAAAAATTGGTCATTCCATCCCTTTAAATGACACCAAAAAACATCCGTTTCCTTCTCTATTGCATCAGCGGAATTGTCATCAAAAAGTGTCCGCCTCGCGTCATCTTTCTCTCCTATTCTCTAATTCTCTCACTTCCCCATACTCTCTCGTTTCTCAAGAAATTGTGTATATAAATGTCGGTGTGTTTGTACGTTGTAGAACATTCTAAACAATTTTTAAAACTAAAAATTCAAGTTTTTAGGCCAAAAATAGGCTTAAAATATCCCAAAAATTCTTATTTTTTGGGTTTTTCCAATTTTCCCAGAACCCAAGAATAGTCTTTTGTCCCCTCTTTTGAACACAAAAAACCTGTTTTTTTTCCGATTTATTTGTTCTCATTTTTCGCCCGATTTTTTGATTGGTTTCTCTTCTTTTTTCCCGATCATTCTGGCATTTTTCATTGATTTTTAGTGATTTTTTCCGGATTTTTTGAATTTTTTGAGCCATTTTAGACCAATTTTGACTACTTTGATCCTATTTTCAGCTATTTTTTTCAGGCTATTTTTAACGATTTTAGACCGATTTTGACGGAAATCATGTCATTTTAAACCAATTTTGGATTTTGTTTTTTTTTTATTTTTCAGAATTTTGATTTTTCTGAAAATCTAAAACATTCTGCATGAGATACACTAGAAATCGATATCTGGCAAATTTTCAAAATCATGTTTCCAATGATTATTGGACTTTGAACACTGATTATTCTTCTTATCAGTAGTTTTCTTGATTTTTTGTCATTTTGTCATTAATTTCTGAATTTCTGAATTTCTGAATTTCTGAATTTCTGAATTTCTGAATTTCTGAATTTCTGAATTTCTGAATTTCTGAATTTCTGAATTTCTGAAATTCTGAATTTCTGGATTTCTGAATTTCTGAATTTCTGAAATTCTGAATTTCTGGATTTCTGAATTTCTGAATTTCTGAATTTCTGAAATTCTGAATTTCTGAATTTCTGAATTTCTGTATTTCTGAATTTCTGAATTTCTGAAATTCTGAATTTCTGTATTTCTGAATTTCTGAATTTCTGAATTTCTGAAATTCTGAATTTCTGGATTTCTGAATTTCTGGATTTCTGGATTTCTGTATTTCTGAATTTCTGAATTTCTGAATTTCTGAATTCCTGTATTTCTGAATTTCTGAATTTCTGAATTTCTGAAATTCCGAATTTCTGGATTTCTGAATTTCTGAATTTCTGAATTTCTGAATTTCTGGATTTCTGAATTTCTGAATTTCTGAATTTCTGAATTTCTGTATTTCTGAATTTCTGTATTTCTGAATTTCTGAATTTCTGAATTTCTGAATTTCTGAATTTCTGAATTTCTGTATTTCTGAATTTCTGAATTTCTGAATTACTAAATTTTGGAATTTCTGTATTTCTGAATTTCTGAATTTCTGTATTTCTGAAATTCTGAATTTCTGAATTTCTGAATTTCTGAATTTCTGAATTTCTGAATTTCTGTATTTCTGAATTTCTGAATTTCTGAATTTCTGAATTTCTGAATTTCTGAATTTCTGAATTTTGGAATTTCTGTATTTCTGAATTTCTGAATTTCTGTATTTCTGAAATTCTGAATTTCTCTATTTCTGAATTTCTGGATTTCTGAATTTCTGAATTTCTGAATTTCTGAATTTCTGAATTTCTGAATTTCTGAATTTCTGAATTTCTGAATTTCTGAATTTCTGAATTTCTGAATTTCTGTATTTCTGAATTTCTGAATTTCTGAATTTCTGAATTTCTGAATTTCTGAATTTCTGAATTTCTGAATTTCTGAATTTCTGAATTTCTGAATTTCTGAATTTCTGAATTTCTGAATTTCTGAATTTCTGAATTTCTGAATTTCTGTATTTCTGAATTTCTGAATTTCTGAATTTCTGAATTTTGGAATTTCTGTATTTCTGAATTTCTGTATTTCTGAATTTCTGGATTTCTGAATTTCTGAATTTCTGAATTTCTGAATTTCTGTATTTCTGAATTTCTGTATTTCTGAATTTCTGAATTTCTGAATTTCTGAATTTCTGAATTTCTGAATTTCTGTATTTCTGAATTTCTGAATTTCTGAATTACTAAATTTTGGAATTTCTGTATTTCTGAATTTCTGAATTTCTGTATTTCTGAAATTCTGAATTTCTGAATTTCTGAATTTCTGAATTTCTGAATTTCTGAATTTCTGAATTTCTGTATTTCTGAATTTCTGAATTTCTGAATTTCTGAATTTCTGAATTTCTGAATTTCTGAATTTCTGAATTTCTGAATTTCTGAATTTCTGAATTTCTGAATTTCCGATTTTCTGAATTTCTCTATTTCTGAATTTCTGGATTTCTGAATTTCTGAATTTCTGAATTTCTGAATTTCTGAATTTCTGAATTTCTGAATTTCTGAATTTCTGAATTTCTGAATTTCTGAATTTCTGAATTTCTGAATTTCTGAATTTCTGAATTTCCGATTTTCTGAATTTCTCTATTTCTGAATTTCTGAATTTCTGAATTTCTGAATTTCTGAATTTCTGAATTTCTGAATTTCTGTATTTCTGAATTTCTGTATTTCTGAATTTCTGAATTTCTGATTTC